ACACTGGCTACTCGAATCCGCCGGTCGTTCTTCCTCGAATTTTCCATCACTAATGAACAAGACTCCGAGGTACTCGAACTTCTCCACCTGCTCCACTGCATCTCCTTTAACCTGAAGAGCGCAACGTACAGGAGAGCGCGAAAGCACTGGGCTTTTCGTTTCAGGCACATTCACACGCACCCCGGCAACGTCGCGTTTGACTGCAGATCTTTCCAAAGAGCGCTGGAGATCAGTTTCAGAAGAGGCCAAAAAAACAAGGCCGTCTGCAAACAGCAACCTTCTTGTCTCGTCACCTCCCACGCTGATGCCTCATCAATCTGGCTACACCTCATAATTTTACGCAAGTATATCACTTACACGAGCGCGGACACAACGCAGCCTTAGCAGAGAAAAGTGTGAGCGTTGAAAGTCTCAACTTAGCGCAATTTTCTCTGACGCATCACTTTGTATCAGCATATGATGATTGGAGGGCCCATGGCAACCGGTCATCGGTCTCATATGTTCGTAGGTACGCCCACAGTCTGCTGCGTGTGATTCAGTCATACGCTTTCTCTAGGTCAACAAAACACATATTAACCGGATGAACGAACTACCACAATTTCTCAGTAATCTGGTGTTGGGCTTATACCTGGTTCGACTATACCGGGAACCACACTACTCTTCTTGTTCTTTACAGTCAGTTATTCCGGGTACCTCCTTTCTAGCACCTTGGCGTAAATCTTACCCGCGAGGCTCAATAGGATAATCATCCATTAACAAGAGCACTCCCTACAGTCTATCTTTTCGAACAAGGGTACTAGAACCCGCGTTCTTTAGTCCACTGATGCCCTCTCCATAGTCATTGCAGTTTGGCAGACTCATCTAAGCCAGCATATGCCCTACTGGCATAAAACTTTAAACATTTCAGGACGGATTTTATGGATTCCAGCAGCCTTCCCACTTTTGAGGCTTTATAAAGTTTCGGTGACTTCATCTAACAGAGATTAACATACGTTCCTTGCTGCTCTACAGGCGAGTCTTCCTGCGGTTGCTCGGGGTTAAGGTGTTTCTCAAAGCACTCTCTCCATCGCATCGAATGGGAAGAGGGTGTACAGACCTGCCCTTCAAGAGTTTTAGACTGTCCTTCTTTTCACCTCGGAGGCGGAGAATTTTCTTTCAGAACACCTTGTTTGCCGTCTAGAAATTCGACTCTGACACCTCACCATAGTTCTGCTAGGGTTCACTTTAGATTTGCCACTGCATTCGCTGTCGCCATGCGCGCTTCTACATATCGCATGCGATTTGAAGGCTCTTTGCTTCCAAGCGATTTCTTGAACG